CCCTTTAAACGGTTTTATATCTACATGTCGATTGTCGATTGATTGATTGATTGATTCATTCATTCGTTCATTTAATACATGTCGACATTTAGCATACGAATTGACATCCAGGATCAATCCGATCAATCTACCATTTTCATAAGCGTATTGCCTAAATATCATGCATGTATGTGGCACAAGACCTATGGTTGCCTCGATACCGTGCCAAATCACGTTTTGCACAATGCGCAAGCAAATTATATTCGCTGGGTCTTCCGCGCATTGTGCTTAGCAAAAACAGGAATGCAATTGTTAAGCGACGCAAAATGTGCAATGCAGCAAGTGACCACACACAACCGCCCAGCCCCCATGGCCCACCAACACGCCCCACACCACTCGCCAGCCCACGCCAACCACCGAGACGAGCCCCTCCCCCCGCGCTGGTCTGACGCGACAGCTGGTCTACAAAGCGCTCCACCCGGCGACCCGAGCCGATGTCAAACGGCGTGGGTAGACTGTGCCGCTTCACTCTCGGGTCATGCGGCACAGCCTACCGGTACCAGGCGGCTGCTGCCAATGCTGAGCCATAGGAACCCGGTGGATAAAGAGTAGGGGACCATCAACCTGTACACGACTGTACCTACGTCGGCTTTCAGTCTACGTCAAAAACAACTATTCACGTTGCCGGAGCCGGAGATTGAGATTTGAGAATCCATTTCGCCGAGCATGTTCCGCAGGGCCCGACCACTACGGTCCGATCGGGCAAATCCGGAAACCGCTAGGATTTTGATGCAGAGTTTAGCGTGCCGATGAAAGCCAAACACAGTCAATCCCAAACCACCCACTGTAAAATGGCTGCAGCTTCTGGTAAAATATCAGCCCACTTTGTCAGGAGTCTAAACTATCGAACATCGGAGCGACTAGAGCCCGACGGCTGGGAGTCCGATGCTCTGCCAACCGAGCTACGAAACAGACGAAACAATCGATTTATGTGGTAACAGTAACTGTCACCCTGACTGATAATCAAGTGCTTACCCTATTATAGCACTTCATTCGGCACGTGCAGGCGGCTCCGATCTGTTTCGACTTGACCACCTGGCCCTTGGTGTTGACGTATTCCTGGCCGGCGATGCGACGGTTCTTGCGCACCACTCGTTTCCACTGGTCTGGCCGCTTCTCGCGGCCCCTCGCGCGCAGCAGGGACGTCCCGAGCTGATCGGTGGGCGGCGCAGCGGAGGTGGCCGCCGGCAGCTCCACTGTCCTCTCCATGCTCACCGAGGGTCACCAGAGGGTCCACTGAGGCTCGGCCAAGGGACAACGAACATCCACTCAGAGGCAGTGGAAGAGTAGGAGAAAGAAAAACCTGAAACAGATCAGAATCACAGTGATACTTGGAGTGGGGACATTGGCCCTTAAAAACTGAAATAGAACTTGGGCAAGCAGAATACCACAAAAATTAAGGCCACTCAGCGACAAGAAACTGGTGTGTTTCAAAATCACCACACATGATGCCCCATGGGTGCTTAGAAATGCTGAATGGGAATGGCAGATAGAGGCTCGGATCAGACGTGTGTGTTGGTAGAGCAAGTAAACTGGAACTTGTTTCCAACTTTGGGGCTTTTTCATAATACCTGGCCTCCAGTTTAATTCTGCATCCAGCCTATATGGGGTCACCTTTAAAACATAGATGGCTGGTAAACAAGGTCTAATTCCTCACTTTGAAAACATGGTTTCAACTTCACAGAACAGCACACACTAGATGTAGTTTAACCCGCGCCCGGCTGGGGGTCCTGGATTTCCACGCCCTGCTGGGGGAGGGGGTGTTTGAACACCCCCCCCCCCCCTTCTAACTCGGCTCCTGGGCCACGTAGCGATACGCAGAAGGCGGCGTTCGAAAGAGCGCCAAAAAATAATGACGAAATCACTTCGGTCACTTTTTTGGTCAGGTCAAAGGTCAGGTCACCAGAGGTACTTGAAGGTAAAATCTCGCCGATTTTCAGGTCGAATGTCGACAATTTCCAGGAAGCCAACGCATAACTCGGGAACCAATAGAGCTAAAGCGCCACGGAAAAGCGCATTCGATAGCCCTATTAACGCCCTTTCTAAGTAATACTCTCAGATTTGACCTAACGTCAACGGTTTTGCCTGCAGGGGGCAAAAACTGCAAAAATACCCGATTTTTTCGGAAACAGTTTTTCTGCAATAATTTTTGACCCAAGCCTTGTAAGAGCTTACTTTTACCGGCATCGTGTTCCTCTCGTCAAGACGCATCGAATGAACTATAACTTGACCTTGAAAGGTCAACTTGAAAATTTGACCTAAGGTCAAGGTCATGATCTGACCGGAAAAGGTCATGTTGCATATCAGTCGATCCGTATCGTCGAGCTGAACACACCTACGGCGTTTTCACCGCTCTAGCGTGCCTCTATCAAAAGTTATTTGCGAAAACCTGTTAGACACCATTCGTGACCTGAGATGACCTCAGGCGCATAAATAGGGGTCACGGTCACGGACACCATTTTCATGTTCAGTGTGTTTAAACCACTTGTAATTCAGTGTTTGGGAGTGTTTATAATGTCTTTCGTTCAAAAGAGGTGCATTTCAATTTTCTCCCATTGACTTATAATGGGGAGGTCGCAAAATTGACCTGACCTTAGGTCACCGATATCAAAATTCTGAGATAAACATTTTATAGATACTGTTACCCTTATCAATCGCTGAAAGTTTCAAAGCGATCGGTCACTCGGTGTAGCAATGGCAGACATTGAAACTTTTTATGAGGTGAGGTCACTTCAAGCGACCTGACCTTGAATGACCTTGGGCTGAAATTTTCACAACATGTGTAGAATTGATGTATGATAAGGTGTACCAAAAACGTTTGAGATATTCGCGAAAAACCACAAGGGGGGGGGGGTGTTCAAACACCCAGCAGGGCACGGGTTAAAGGGACACTCCCACCTTAACATTAGTTTTGAGTTGAGATAGCCAAATTGGTGGCCATGGCCTGCAAATACCGGTTTGGGCACTCACAACATCGACAAATGCTTTAATTCGGAGATATGGAATTTCAAACTTGCAGTTTTCGGATTCTAAGGGGCTAGTGCATTGGTATGCCCCCTTAGAATTTGTGACGTCAGCGGAGATCTAACGATTTTTAAATCTTTTACTAAAACGTTTGGTAGCACGCGGTGGTATATGCTGCTTTGCGCGCAACAAATGCCGCACTTTCAAATAAAGTCGCTAGGAACAGCGGAGATCCCAATAAGTAAACAAAAGTAAAAGTCTAATATCTTGAAAACCGGTGAATATTTTTCGATGAAATTTGGTAGATATTCGTTTTCGCTCTTTCTGAACCGAGCGACATCACTTTCGTGCCAATTCATTAACTTTTTTGAAGGTGGGAGGGTCCCTTTCATAGTGTAAAGGAAAAGAAGCAATTGCTATCATGGGTGTCGACTTCCAGCGAGTTGGGTGCCCAAGCTCTCCAAATTCCATGCCAGTTCGGCCGGCTTGGCTTTAGAGTCGCAACAGACAAGGTCAACAGGTCAAGCTCACCACTAGGGCGGTGACGGATTTGCTGTGCCCGGGCACCCCCAACTTTGTGAAAATTGACACCCATGGGCCATGATTGCTAGGTATGTTACCAGGTGAGTTGAGTTTTGTTTGCCCAAGAAGTTTGTTTGAGCAGTAAATATCAAGTTCTGTGGTACCTAGTGAAACAGTAAATAGGTAGGTACTAACTACTAGATCACAGGGTCCAGGGTCCCTAACCCAACAAGTCCAAGTATCAATGCACAGGGGGCTGTTCACGGGCCCTGTGTGCGGTCGGACCATACACAGCCTCCAAGCTCCACCCACTAGTCCCTACGTCAGCCTTCTGTCACCGCACACAGCGACCGCTGTGGCCCGTCGGGACTCGGCACAGCGGACCATCCACCTCACGCAGCCGTGACGTCAGCACCGCCTACCCATCCCCTACCCCTACGCCTGCTGCACACACCGCACACACCACACTCCGCAGTTTGCGGTGCCCGTGAACACCCCTCAGGTCAAATAATGATAATGATCAAGGCTCATTGATCCAGACTTTGCAAATTCAGCAAAACAGGACTAAATGTACTGAATAAATAGCTATTCAATGACGATTTATCATTGCATTATATAGGTATTAGGTTACTAGTTTCTTTACCCTTTTCACTGGATGAAATTAAAAAATCACTGTGAAAAAATAAAGCAAATTCTCAAGCAATTACCAAAACCCCCACCACTCGTTGCTGGCTGTGTGATTTGCTTGTGAGACTTTTTATGAATGTAGTAGAATTCTCTAATTTGTCTCTAAATACTGACTTAAATTTCGTTAGCTCAAATCTGAAATATTTTCCTTAAAATATGCAAAGTTAAAAGGATTCTTGCAAAATTTATCTCCTACATATATTGATGTAATCGAAGAAAACACATGTGGCCGGTGTAGTGCCAGCAAAGCCAAGCAAAAGAAGCGAAACAAGAACATTTTAAGTATCTTAAGGACCTCAGAACCTTTTGAAGAATTTTCAGGAAGTCATCATAAATTGTTATTATTCACTATAGCGAACAAACTTATTTTACTGACGAACAGGGTCATTTTTAGACTAGCTTCTAGGACATTTTTACGGGCTCGGAAAAGCGGGAAAATTTCCGGGTTGATTCCGAGAAACAGCCAAAAAAGCAAAAGAGTAGAAGAAATCATCACCTACTGCACTTATTGCAATTTTCGATTTGTTTTCCAAACGCATCAGATAGAACAATGCTCTAGTAGGAAAATGATTCATCTGGTATTTTCGATTTTTCCTACTAAGTAGCGCGCCTTTTCTTGTTGAGTCCCGCCGCGTGGAATCTGTGAGTTGGGTGTTCGTGAATATTTGGGTGTATTTTGGCTATATGTTTGTTTTAATTCGCTCAAGCATATGTATATCTTGATGAGTAAACCCTCTCTGCATTCAGATGGATTGACTGGTCTGGTGTGCCGCCTCTGTGCGGGTGGTAGTTGAGCTGCGCTTTCGCCGCACGGCACCGTGGCCGTGCTAATTGTTTAACTCATAACTCGTGATTATTTTCTAATGCTTGAAATACCCCAAGTATGTGAGTGAATTGTAGGTTAAAACCTTATTCCAAGAAAATTTGTTGCACGGTATTGAGCTCATTATCATCAACCTGTCATTGTCCATGGGGGCGTCAAATTGCCCCGGTGCTGTTCACGGGCGCCTGCGGTGACTGCGGTAGCTGTGGTAGATCGCAGGCTGTAAGTCACGCCCACTTGTGTATACGTCATCACGCGTTCGTCCGCGGCGGCTCAGGCTGTGTCAATTTTGCGCCCAAGTAACACGAATGTGCAACTGCCGCGCCACTTTGTATGACAAATGGTTCCTGCGGTCGTATCCTTTCGACCGCAGGAGACTCGGGCGACCGCAGCCGTATGACGTCACACCACCCGCCCCATCCCCACTTTCTGTGACGTCATTACCCGGCTGACCGCTGAGCCGCAGCTAGGTACCGCAGGTGCCCGTGAACAGCACTCCCATCTGCTGGCTTGTCGGCTGTTGCAGTGACCAAGAACTAGTTGCATGATCAGTCTCAAATTTGTTTTGGCTTCCCTGGCATCAATTTTTACATCATGTGATGAAGTTTTCTATGACTTCTTTTTACAAATTTTTAGCTAGGTATAACAGATTTTGTGGTGTCATGACTGCAACTGATTTCAATAAAAAGTGCCATTGTCTTAATTTGTCAGCTTTCTACAAGGCAATTTGTTGAACATATTTGCAAATAAAATACAAATGGGTATCAATTACAACGTTTTATAAAATGGCCACCTCGGATCTGATTTAAAATAAGATTTTGATACGAAATTTTCCAAAAATTAAGCTTTTTTAAGGAAAAAAATTATGTTTCCATTTCCAAAATTTCAAAAATGGAATATTTCAGATGGGGTGATCGCTGCCAGACCAATCGCCAAATTTCTCAAATCTCAAAATTTGACCCTTAAACCTACTATTTTACATGTCAATACTGTGTCCAATAGTGTGCCCAGTGATTTCATTATTTTAAATGATATTGTTTGACCTACAACCATTGTCAAAAGAAAGCAGGGGCATGGTTGGGTTCATGGCATCAATGGTCTGTACCTGTTAGACACCTTTTTTTGTAGAAGTTGTGCAATGTGCAGTGCAACTTCAAAACTTGGCCTTTTTTAACCTGACCTTGACCTTGAGAAATTCTTGTTATGGCTTCAGCACCTCTGGTCTCTGGAATAGCCCTATTGGCTTTTTTCAACCCAGCCTCATGTGTCTGCCATGCTTACTTTCGGAGATAACCGTGTGTGGGTGTGGGGAGGCGGAAGGCATTAAAGCTCACCGCTTCCAGTCACTCAGTCAAGTACGGATTAACCCTCGTCTGTAAAGGGGGGTCGAACGGACCCCCGTCGGTTTTTCGCGAATAGTTCGCGTAAAATGCGGCCGATCGCGACGAAACTTTCAGTACCCTCTAGTCGATCAATTTTACACCCACCCTGAAAATTCCATGACCCTGACCCAAATGACCTTTCACCTGTGACTTACTTTTCGAGGCATGTATGGCCGGAATCGCGATTCGGCGGATGTCGGCTCGCATTAGCCTCGTGTTTGCAGTCTTTTCGTGGTTGTTTCAAGCGTTCAAACATGTGATATGATGTTGCCTCCACGCATTAGGGCGGATGTCAAGGTCACCTGAAGGTCAGGTCAGGTCATTGACATTTGATGACCTCGGTTCACTTTTTCGAGTTTTACATGTTTCTAGGCCAGTTTTTGGAGCTGAATTCGAATTTAGCAACCATATGAACATTTATGAAGTAGTTTTGGTGCCTTCGAAACATGTTACGAAGCTGTCAGAGGCAGTTGACACCTACTACGATTACCAGGCAGGACCCCTACTGGTTGACCTGACCTGACCTGGCCTAAATGCATGAAGACATCATCTGTGATAAAAATAACATGATATTCGTGATCAGCACCCCGAAAAACCGCATATTAACCACACTTAACGACGTTCTAACAGGTCCCGATTTTCCCGACTTTTGGGTCATTGACCTGACCTGGAAGGTCAACCAATGACCTAGGACCTTAAAATTGGGTATCATCGGCTTCCTCTCGTCACGGGCAACACGCTCGTTTTTTTCCGCGAAGCTCTAGCTCGATCAGTGGCGAAGCAGCAAGGGGGGTCCAACGGACCCCCTCCCCTCCCCTTATACGTCCGCGGCTGGAAAAACACCAATACGGGCGAGGGTTAGGAAATTCATGGCTAGGGAGGATGACAGTCTGATTCTGAGGGTGAAATTGAAATATTAAACCTGTCCACATTTCTGGAGGTCAGGATGCGTCACATAAGGGGCCTGTTTTAGGGCATTGATTGACACTACCTGAATCCTGATACCATCATTGGTGATTGATATACTATGAAAGGTGCTTGATTTCCATGGAATTGGGCAGAATAGCTCATTTTTTATAGTGTTACCATAGATACAGAGCATTAGATGGAGTCACTGTGTTGAAACAGGGATCTAGCCACATCTGGCTGCTATTGTGTAAATTGAACCAGTTTTCATTGCAGTGATTTTGCAGGGCTACTGGTTTTGCTACCAAATGTTGGGATCAAGACCCTCTCTGTTCGTAGGTCTGCTTATGATATTTCTCATAATTAATGGTAAACTTGTCTTGCAAAATATCCACAGAAATTTAAGGTTTTTATCTTGTTTGTCCAAGGTCCTATGAAGGAGGCTTGGAGCTCCCTTTATGCTTGCTTGACTTGATTTTTTTCCTAATGAAGCACACTATTCCTTCACCAGCTCACTACTCACTAGTCAGACAGCAGCAGTGTCAACATGTCCAACCAGGAGGACCCCGAGAAGGCTCTGGAGACGATGGATGAGGACAGCGGCGAGGCCGGGAACGTGACTGCCCAGCTGATGCGGAACCCGCAGGTGCTGGCCGCGCTGCAGGGCCGGCTGGACGGCATGGTCGGCTCCCCGTCCGGCTACATTGAGGTCAGTCAGATGGCGAGGATCGTGGGCTGAGGCGGAGAATCATCATCATTTATTACTATGCCCATCTGTAAAACATGGCTCTTCAGGACAAGTGTCTGTGTACAAAATTGAGGTAAAAATAATACACCAAACAATAAACGTGCGCCATTAAAATGCAAATTATAATGCCTGCATGACTCCTGTCATGCCCCTGTCAACACCACTGGGCACTAGTCACACTCTATACAGGTTGTGGGTCAGGGTAGCTGTGCATTGCAATCTGCATGTAATGTAATGGTTGCCCCTTAATGGTTGATGTAATATGAGCATCGAGCAATGTTTACTTTTGATTGACTTGTGCAACACTGGCCCAAAAAAAATTGACGTAAATATCCGTCATGACATTCGCGGTTGTTATCATAGGCATTTGGCTCATCGTCTTCTTTGTACCGCCTGTGACGGTAGCCGGTGATGAACCACCGCTGGCCGGCGCGCTCGCGACTTATGATGGGGCTCCAGGCAGTGGTCTCAGGGTGCGTAGACAGTCAATGGGTACTAGCTGAGAGCGGACAGTCAGATGACGGGCTGCGGGGGCTAGATGACGAACTTTGTCATTATTCAACTGATTAGGCAGTGGGGGAGGATGACGGTCTCGGTACACTGACTGTCCAGTTCTTTCGTCCTCGGGGTAATGGGTAGGAGCTGAATTCTGACGGCTATTGACAGATCCGACGGTTATCTGATTGGCCGGTCCCAATGTCAGTTACCGCGTGTTTTCTGTTAACGGTCGTAATCGGCTGACAGACGCGGTCAGCTGACCGGGCATGGATGGGATCTGACTGACGGCTGCTGACCAGCCGTTCTGGTTTCTGAAAGATTCAGCTGCCCGGTCATGACCGTGACCATGACCGGCGGTCATGTGTGTAAGCTGGTTCACGGCCAGTGCGACTCTCTCCCTCCGTGACTGAGTGCGATAGGTAGGCAGTGGTTGGCAGCGATAGGCACTAGGCAGTCCCCACCCACGCCGGTCGTTACCACCGCCTTTGTGGTGGTCTGACCTCGCCGGCTTCCGGGAAGCTCATGCCAGATTGGGGAATTTGTGGCGATTGCAGAGTGGGGTTCAGAGCTGTTTGTTTCTCTGTGTTTCTGAGCCGGTAGTAATGGTCAGCATGGAGTATGTGCCTCGTGTATATGATTATTATCGACCAGTATTTCTATGGTGACGTTATTACGGCGTAGTGGCGGTCGCCGTTGTTTTGATCGGGTTTGAGCGACGGTCGATCGCACTCGTGCGACGTTGTTATGTGCGTGGGCGGACCGGTCGGAGGAAACCCGCCGGTTTAGAGGGGCCGATGGGTAAGGAGCTGACGTGTCCAATCATGCCAACGTGCTACTTATATGGCAAATACGGTTTGCTTGGGCGGGAAGCTGGCAGGACTTCGAACTCTGGGAACTTCAGGCTACGGCACCAATGAATGCACGTCATTTGGATGACGATGCCAGTCACTAGCTGTCTAGATTTTTAGTTTGACGAGGAAATCTCTTTTTAGAAGATGTCCTGCGTATTGATTAGCCTGGGAGTGAGGCCTTTGCTAGCATTGAGTTGATTTTAAGCACTAATTTAATCGCGTCGATGTAACGAAAGTATGTGAATCCTACTTCGCGAGTGGCTGTCGTAGTTAACGAGTAATATGGAAATGCCACTTATGGTCTACTTACTAGTTGTCACGCGTATTAGGCACACTCTCTTGTTCTTTGATCAGTAGTGTCCAGACCAGTCCACTGACGTATACTCTCCCTGCCACAGAGCCTGCCAAAGGTGGTAAAGAGGCGCATCAAAGCCCTGAAGAATCTCCAGCTGAAGGCCACAAATATTGAGGCCGCATTCTACGAGGAGGTGCACGCGCTAGAGTGCAAATACCACAAACTCTACGTGCCTCTCTATGAACAGGTGAGACTCGGAGCGCGGGCGAGCCCGGAATTGCTAAGGGTGGCGGTTAGAGGGGTTCGGTGGTGAGGAAGTTGTTTTATAGGATTCCGCGGACACCTTGTAGATCGTTGAGTTGACGCTTATTGATGGACCTTATGGCATCTGGGATCAATTATGGCTTGTTTTGAGCAGTGACAATACTTCTTATATATCCTGTCTGATTATTACGCCGTTTATCGCTACGGGCGTCTGCTTTCTCTTTTCTTAGGCCCGATCCATTAGTCTGTTTCTTTGAGTGCATACTGCCTTGCGCAGAGCTTTCAGCGCTGTTTCAAAGTCATGTCTCATCTCCTCTGGCGCTCCGTCGGACCGCCTGCCACCACCTCCCGCTCCCCGCTGTTCCCTTCATCTGTGTCTGACCGGTCCCGTCGCTTCGGCAGCGTAACACCATCATCGGCGGCGACTACGAGCCGACCGACGCAGAGTGTGAGTTCACGCTGGATGACGAGATCAGTCAGGAGATGGAGGATAAGGCCAAGATCGGCGACGGAGACGCCAAGCTGCACGACATGGACGAAAACACAAAGGTAGCTGGGGCAGAGAGGAAGACAAGAATGACTGGAGTGGAGGGTAGAGGACTAGAGAGATCACACAGGTGGGGAGGCGGAAGGAAGGGTTAATTGGAACGTCGGGATGTGGGGCATGTGTACTGCGACTAGACCGTGAACCGTGAACTAGTCGAGAGTCAGTGTGCAGCTGGTGATCTCATACACATTTGTCGGATGCCATTTTATTGGAACGCATGAGCACTCATGTTTCTGTCATCTACGGACTGATGATACGGACTTGAAGTTAGGTTTGGTGTCACTAGCTGACTAGGGAATACTCGTATACTGACCCGACCCCGGTCCCTCGCCAGGGCATCCCCGAGTTCTGGCTGACGGTATGTAAGAACGTCGACCTGCTCTCGGAGATGATCCAGGAACACGACGAGCCCATCCTCAAACACCTGCGAGACATCAAAGTCAACTTCGCAGAGAGCCCCATGGTAAGTCGGTCGACCGGGTGACGTGCCTCCCGCTAGTGATGGCTTTGTAATTAATAGTTTCCTGCAGAAGATAGATTAGTTGTGATGACTCTTCTTTACTGAAGAAAGTGTATGTTTTTTCTTGCTCATCACCATTTACAGGTGGCGTATTTTATCGCTGGCCACACGTGAATGTTTGACGTGACAGTTTCTCTAATAATATTTCGATTGATGTTATGTGCATGAATGGGAGAAAAGATAGGCTGCTGTCACGCAAAATGCCGCCGAGTCTTACTTCTCTGTTCTTCTCCTCCAGGGCTTCACGTTAGAGTTCCACTTTTCGCCAAACGAGCACTTCACAAACACCGTCCTCACCAAGGAGTATTTCATGAAGTGCAAGCCGGACGAGCGGGAACCGTTCACATTCGAGGGACCAGAGATCTACAAATGCAAGGTGCGTATCGGGGAAGGTCGGCGGCCGATCTGCTAGAGCTGTCATTTTGGCTGCCATCAATTTCAGTGCTTTGACTGATGCTTCTATCAGTCTGTATCGAATTGTTTTATTTTACCAGCGAAATTACGTTAGCAATTAACAATGCCGCCGAATTTGCGCTCATTTTCTTCGTAATTAATCTTAGGTTTTATACCGTGGTTTGACTTATTCATAAATGGGTGAGTAAGTGTTTCCAAGTGTGCTGTGCCGTGAGCGGTCGTGTTCGCTGGACAATGGGTGACTGCCGCGGCTGATGGGCGACTTTAGTGTGGATTATGCTGCCGATCAGAAATTCAAGCTTTCGGGCTGCCGATGCAGAATGTCTTACCAACACCATATATTCTCTTCGGCAGGGCTGCACAATAGACTGGCAGAAGGGCAAGAACATCACACTGAAGACCATCAAGAAGAAACAGAAGCACAAGTCACGCGGCAGCACGCGCACAATCACCAAGACCGTGCAGAACGACTCCTTCTTCAACTTCTTCAGTCCGCCCGCCGGTAGGACCCCGCCGATAAACGCCGCGACTGTCCCCGTCACGGAATAGGCATCAGGGATCGATGGAGGAAGAAATAATGTTATATAGTGTCGTGACTCATGTTGTTATGGTGTAAATTAACATTTGTAACGCAACATGGCCCGGATGGGTGAGGGCAAACAAAGGTTCTTGAATTCGCCATCGATTTTTACCGATCGGTAAAGGTGTTTGGGGAAATGTCGGCGTCTTTTTCTGGTGGTTAATGCTGACCGTGAAGCGGTTTTGCTGAAAATGACACCACAATTTCGCAATTCGTTGTTAGCGTTTGCCCGGTCCGTCACCAGCCGGCAGCCACCCGGCCGGTCGTTCCGCGAGAGTCCGTGCGTGCAGTCCCCCGTGCTGCTCCGACCCCTCTCAGCCTCCAGAAACCATGCTGCACCAGCTTTGTGCGTGGCCCATAACCCCTTAAGTCGCCACCCGGGCCTATCTGACCGTCTGTCCTCTCCCGACAGTGCCCGACGACCCGGACGCAGACGTGGACGAGGAAGTTCAGGCCCAGCTGACAGCCGACTTCGAGATCGGCCACTACATCCGGGAGCGGATCGTGCCGCGGGCCGTCCTCTACTTCACCGGCGAGGCGTTGGAGGAGGACGACTACGACGACGAGGAGGAAGAGGAAGAGGACGGAGAGGAGGGCAGTGAGTCAGACACGGAGGAACGGGAGAGAGCGGGACTGGGTTAGACTGGGCTTGGATGTCATCTTCTATCAGACTAAATTTATCCTTATTTTTAACCACTGTCAGCATGGGCGCAAAATGGCCTTGTAGCTGGCGTGCCCTAAATCCTCAGTAATCAAGCCAGCGACAATATTCAGTCATGATCTGATAAGTCGCATGATCATTGATCATTGATCATTGATCATAGTCGACCATAGATCTCTGATCATATCAGGAATAATCATAGATCTGCTCTCCGACTCGCTACGTTCTACGTCACTGGCGGTGGCGGTCGTGGCCAGCCTTTACAGTGCCCGGCCCTTTCCTCCATTCGCAGGTGACGACGACATGGACGACGAGGAGGACCCCGACTTCGACCCCAAGAAGGTCAAAGGACCCAAGGGCAAGGGCGGCGACCCACAGGAGTGCAAACAGCAATAGTCTGCACCGCCCGCCGCCCGCCCGCCTGTTCTCAGAGACATTCTCTCGTCGGCTGCTGCAGCCGCCGCTGTGACGCCGTCGCCCAGCGCGGCATGTTGATGTACTTTCTGCGATAGCTGCCACGCACGCTAGTGTCGGCCGATAATAATAAACTCTGTTCCGTGTACGTGCGTGTATTGGCGCCGGCCGGGGGGGGGGGGGGCGGTGGCACAGCCGTGGTCCGCTCACGGAGCGGAGAGCGGTTCGGGACCACATCTGCTCCAGAGGGTCCAACACGGCTGATCCGTGCTTCCTGGTGTTCTGACGTGAAGCAGCTATATATGTGACCGCCCTGGGCACTTCTCATTCAGATACATGTTCGTCGCTTTGAGAGTTTCTAACACAAGATCACTGTGCGCATCGTCACTGACCAGCGTGAACTTCCCACATGATAGAAGCTTCTCTCCAGTCTAGGATACGACTGTGAAAGCAGCTCACAGACGGAGAGCGAAAGCCCGAGTCAGGCGGGCACCGTGAGCATTTTCAACGGGAAAACAGCGCCAACTGATTATGTGTTTGCTGCTTTTGAACTGCGTCATCTACGGGTACACCTTGTTTTTCTTACTGTACGGAGTAAGTCGTGGCTAGTAAATTATATTTTTGGGAAATGGAGTTAGAATTGTTGGATTTCTTGAGTTGTTTATTTAAATTGACATATAGATAATTTTCTTTTTACTTCACCACATTTACAATTTTTATTATCTACATTCTAAAAGAATAAAAATAATAAAAATAATTTTAGATCAGACTTTGGGGATGCCTTGGTTCACTTTTTTCCATGTTTAGTCGTGGCTAGTAAATAATACCTACTATCATCACATGCCACAAGAATGGATCCGAATGCTTGAACTACTATTGAGATTAAGTAACAGATTATTACTTTCATAATAAGAAGAGTCGATGTTTTAGTCCTTTATCTATTTTGATGTGCATTCGCAACTTTATTTCTGATTGAAAGCCAGAGTTTGGATAAGCACCGGTCACGAAGAACATCTACAATACCTATACATAGCCCGAAGATATTGCTACGCCATGACTCCAAACGGTTTGATTCTTGGGAAGGTTTCGATTTTAGAATATATGACGAAAAGGAAACTGTTGTGATTCCTACGGTGAAGCGCCGCGTACCCGAACTCCATTTGTGAACTCGTGTATACTCCATTGAAACCAGTGGCGAAACATTAACATTTTCCGATCGGGAAATCAGAAATGTTTCAGAAATCCAGGAAGTCTTAAGCAATGTCCTCACAATAACCAAACTAGGATCAGTCAGCCAATGATTGAAGGTAGCGAGCGCAACCCACGCCTCCGTTTAATACTCATTCGAGCAAACCATGTCTCTTCACACTGCATTTATTATACGCAGGTAATGTGACACAGTTTCACAAGTAGAAATAAATCGATATAGATCATCGGTCGTTTATTGAACGTCAAAAACCCGGTTCGGATCACTAAGGCCACGCAGGAGAGAGTTCACTGACCCTCACACAACTCATGAACAAATACAGGACACAATAAAATTACGAGTACAACTCATACATATCCTTACATACATTCAATTCAGTCAACAACATAATTGTACCTGACGCATCGAATGATTGTTGGCACGAGTAAAAATGTTGCTCCTAGCGCAGATCTCATAAATATTATTTAAGCCCGATATGTCCTACGCTATCCAGCAACCACTCCATTTTAAGAGTAACCCTGTGGCCTGTTAATTTAGCAGCAGGAGCATAACGCGACCCCGGTCCCCAACGGCAGCCCTCTGTCTAGGGGACAATTAGGACTCAAGGATTGCCAGTAGTCGGCAATGAGGCAGTCCATACATGCTCCATCGAGGAGCGGGGCACGTCGAGTAATCAGCATATCGGGGCAGACATCGCGCCAGCCACAGGTGGGCCCCGCACAGGCACGGGCAGCGCAGCAAGACGTGCTGCGGGGTGTCCGCCTCCTCCCCGCACACTAGACACCGAGCGGCAGGGCAGGCGGTGTCCATGCAGCCGGGGCAGTCGGGGGTCGGCCGGCGGCCGATGCGGTGGAGGTACTGTGTTGATACGCTCCAGTGGCCGGCCCGTAGCTGGTGAATATCCACCGCTGCCTCTCTGCTGTCGAGTCGCACCGGTGCAGGCAGGGTCCGATCCGGGAAGATAGAGCGGTACCAGCCGCCGGGCAGGCTCTCCTGCCATGATCGGCGCGCAGACCTGGCGGCGGCGCGGGTGATGCTCTTGACATCCAGGGGGGGGGGGGCGTTGGTCTGCTCGAGTTCGGCGGCCTCCATCGCCAGCATGTCGGCCCGCTCGTTGCCCGGCAGACCACAGTGGGCCGGGACCCACTGGAGGTGGAGACGGCGACCGCGGTTGGCCAGCTGCATTAGGAGCCGCCAGATAGCGTCGCCTAGCTGGCTCGTCTGCGCCGCCGGTCCCGCATCCACTGTCTGTTGTGCCGCCCTGGAGTCGAGGCAGACGATGATGGTGTCCCTCCGGGTGAGTGTCCTGGTCCGGTGTGAGGTCTGATTCGGCAATCTCCTCCAGGGCAGCACGGAGGGCCACCAGCTCAGCTCTGGTGCTGGAGCATAGGGCGCCGGCGGGGGTCTTGACCGTCCACTCGGCTCTGGCGGGGAGGACGATCAGGGCGCCGCCCCCTCCTCGCACGGTGCCTCCCTCCGCCAAGCCGTCAGACCACACCCACGTCGCCCGCTCTGCTCCGGGGAGGTCGGCCAGCATGGCCTCCGCTGCCGCGCGGCGAGCCTGGTCGCCGGCGCTGCGGACGCAGTCGGGCGGAACGGCACAGGAAATCGTGATCCCCTCACTTGAGGTCCACGGAGGGAGCTGTGCAACGACCATGGGTTCCACCTGGGAGGCGGTGACGCCCAGGGCGTCCAGCGTCCGTCTGCCCTCGTCGCGCCATCCTGTGATGTTGCGGAGTCGGCAGGGACGTGAGGCTTCGGCGAGCTCCCGGAGCGGATCTCCGGCGGGTAGTGCGGATGCGCGCGCCAGCAACCTCGTCGCGAGGGTGGCGCGTCGCATTTCCGCGGTGGGCAGGCCGGCCTCCGCCATGAGAGCGTGGGTCGGCGCTGACCTGGGGCACCCCGTCACGGCGCGGGCCGCTGCGCGCAGCTCCCGGTCCACCAGCTCCAGGTGGGAGCGGGACGCCGCAGGAAGCCACGCGGCCGCCGCATATTCGATGGCGCCGCGGACGTAGCCGTTGGCCACCGCGCGTAGGTGGTGCTCCTGAAGTCCCCAGGAGTGTCCTGTGAGCTTGCGCAGCTGGGTGGTGCGAGGGCGAGCCTTCCTCTTGAGGTTGGTGCAGTGCTCTCCAAAATGGAGCAGCCTGTCAAACAAACGTGACCCCAAGCAGCTTGATGGTGGAGGTCGCACGGACAGGAACGTCCGATACCTTGATGACGGCATCTTTGGCGTCCCGGCTCCATAGGGACAACACCATTATCTGCGTTTTCTGGCTGGCGATCGTCATCTTGTTGCGCGCCGCCCACCCCACCATGAGGTCCGCCGAGTGCTGAGCTGCAGCTAGTGCTGTCTGGATCGTCACGCCGGCGCTGAGGGTGGCAGTATCATCGGCGTATCAGTCAGCTCGGAGAGGGAGTGGGCGGACGAGGTCCCGGTCACGGAGCACGGACGGCGCGCGGCGGCATTTAGCAGACCTCGCCAATCTGAACATTAGTCGGGCTACGACTGGACCACAGCCCGGTCCACCACTGCCAGGACCGCCGCGCGGCGTGGGCATTTTACGATCAGCCAGCACGCCGCCGCACGGGACCACGCGGCGGCTGTGACCTTCAGTGTTGTTGTCGTTGCTTCCCTCCAGCCGCTAACGCGGCGTAATGGTACAGCTCTCGAGGTTTCTCACGGCGGTCGTCAGGGCCGCCACCTCTTCGTCCTCACGGCTCACGGACCGCCTCGGGGCTCAGGAACGGTGCCGAATCGACGGAGGCTCCGTCATATGAGGGCCGGGCACCGAAAGAATAGGTGATGGGGGAGGGGGGGGGGGAGTCGATGTCGGAGCGCTGGCGGCGTTCGTCAGTAGGGTTCTGTTCTATACAGTGAAGATACTGGCGGAAGCCCAACCACTGGCCCGTACGAAGCCGGTAGAGATCGGCAGCCGATGCTCGGTACTCCGCAACCGCTAGCGGCGGCAGGCAGCCCCCCCCCCCCCCATCAGAAACTGGCACCAACTGTCCGGCCAGGCGGCGGTGGCACAGTGGCGGGCCAATCTGATGGCCGCGCGGTGGGCAGTGCCAACATCCCCCGGGACTGTCGCCTGGGGGAGCGGGGCCGCCTCCGCGCTCGAGGCTCGCGCTCGAGGCTCCTTAGCGGCCTGGTCGGCGCGCTTGTTACCATCTATGCCGGAATGGGACGGCATCAATTGCAGGTGGAATTGGCGGAACAGGACTGCCAGCCCCGTCCACACGGCGGCGCCCATCGAGGTTTTCTGTGTGGCTGGGCCCTCCCTCAGTGTCGCGAGCGCCGCCTGGGAGCCTGTGCAAAAGACGACCGGGGCGCTCAGGTGCCACAGGTGGTCGCGCTGATGGCTGAGCGGAGCGCAGCCATCTCCGCGCTCTAGCTGGTGCAGAGCTGGCCAAGGCCCCGGCCCCTCCGCTGCGGACTCTTGCGTCAGCCGGCCCGTCCGTCCATACCCAGGTGGCTTGGGAGAAAGAGCGCCTCGGACGTACTCGATGGTCATGCAGATTGTAGGCCTCACGAGTGGCCAGTAGGTCTCCTCGGCTGCGCAGTACATGGCGCATCCTCCTTCGGATGCGGCCGGCGCGAAGCCCTCGGTGGTAGATCAGCAGGTAGAGCATTACTTGCACAGCTTGATGATCAGAGTCGCTCGGGCGGTCGCTGACGCGCTAGCGCTCGTCACCAGTGGCGGGGCAGGCTGGCAGGGGCCAGGGCTGTCTTGCATCAGCCGAAGGCCCCTTCCATCGCCAGAAGCTGAAGCTGGCTACTGGCCTAGACCGCCAGCATCGTGGATTCGTGCTGTTTGATAAGCTCATTTCTCTAATCTGAAAACAAACAAACAAAAGTGGTTTCAAAAGGTATGCACACTGAAGTCAGTTGCCAGTGAACCTTGTCATGACTAAAATACAACCTGCATTGATTCCACACAGAACAAAAAAGTTAACATTGGGCTTAATAAGAATAATGGAGCACCATACAACATATATTGTATACATTCAGTATTATTTGCAATAATAAAGAATAGCACATGCTCACAGCAACCCAACACCACTGGCCACCCAAGTACTCCAGGCTCAAGTCATTGTTGATGACTCAACCATATCCAGGAAAGTCAACAATTTTTCATATTTTCAACTGCATGAACATTTTATGCTGATTGCACAACTAACTGACTCAAATTTGATGTTTTAAAGCAATTCATATTTGCTGAGATGACAATGAGCAATGTGAACATGTGCTTCTAAATCAAAATGATAACAATGCAAAGCACAACCAAAAGTTTGTAAATATTTAGTGGCTGCTTCCTTTTGTACCACCAGAAGGCTGACCTCACTGACATTCATGTGTTTGAAGAAAGAGAGGAAACCTTTGCTTATTAATAAACTTACCCATTGATAACTGGCCAGAATTATAGGCTTGCTGCTTTTTCTGAGTGATATATTTTCAAAATAACCCTGGTTTCTTCATAAGTGATAGGAGATTGTCCTGCAAACATGAGAATGCATGTCAGCAATAACTACAGCAAAGATGCACTTTCAGTGTGGGTGTCATACAAAGAATGGCCATTATGGAGAGGTTGCCTGAGCCATGTGAAGCCAAATATGCACCCTCATATGGGGGCGCATACCTATTTATATTTGGATGTTACATCACAAGCTAAAGCACTTCTCAAAAATAATATCATTTCTAATTCTTGTAGCTGGTAAAATGTAGGACATTGTCGGCTATTATTTTCTTTCTGGTATTTGTCAACATGAAGTCCTAACTACAATTGTGACACTGTTGATATGCAACAACAGAAATTTCAGGTTTTAGGTTAGTTTAGGTTGTAGATTTGTATGTTTTAGGTTGTTAGGTTGTAGGTTGTTAGGTTGTAGGTTGTAGGTTGGTAGGTTATAGGTAAGTAGGCAAGGTAAGGTCAGGGTTGATTGTTTTTCTTTTATTTGCGAGACACGTAAGTATCATTTTAGGATTCAGGATGTCAAATAATGTAAGAATATGAATAACATTATCCTTGAAATCTTCTTAGGACTTTATCTTTACATTTGCCTTCTTTGTTTGTATTGTTTTTTTTTTTTTTGGTGCTGCTAAAAGGACAATAGCCGTGTTTACATAGAGATCGTTGCAAGCTCCATCTGTTTTTAGGGCCTTGGCTTCATCCAATCTCGCAAAAGATGGCAATGGTGCTGAACAATTTACAGAATGATCCCCTCTAAATATGCGAAGATCACTGCATGGAAATTATCACAAAATAAATAAGCTAGAGCCTAGTCAAAAATGCGATGTAACCAGGCATACCTATTATTTCACGCAACAGCAAGCACAATTGCCACAACCAATGGAAAAATATTTCAAAGTTTAACTGATATGAATACATATCTGATTTCAAACACGAAATTCAACTTCTGTCTCACCTGATAACGAGTTAATTTAATTATAATTGATAGCTTCGTGACCCCCTCCCCACTTCTCATGTTTTGGCGGTGCGGCGGAAATGACGCACACGAGACGCACGAGACGCAGCTCCAAAACAATAGAAGCATGCTTTCCCTACGGCCGACGAAATTCTATAATATTTTATTTCCAATTTGTGATTCCTTAACATCTAAACTTTGGTAAAACGTCAATGCAGTTAAAATTGTTTCTAGTATCTTATTTAGATTCAGTTGAGAAAATATCAAACGGAAGCCCATGGTCTCGAAACTGGGCGAATTCCTTAGTACTTATCATTTTTTTCATAGCAAAATTTTTGTAAGAAAGGGTCAGTTATAGCCGATAACATCTAACTGAGTGGTTACTGACCATATAGCTGGAATAATCAATAACTGAGGATTTTGTGGAAGTAAAAAAATCATCAAAGCAAGACCTCTTTAGCGAAGAAAATAGCTGAAATACTGGAAAATAGGAGGTGATGGCTGAGGGTGCCCCAGGGTTTTCCGCATTTTAATTAACCTTAACATCTTATTTGAGGGGATTGTTGTACCTTATTGAAATCTCTGAGCGATTTTGAATTTACGAGTGTCCTAATATCATCAACCCAATCTTTGGATTTCACGAAATCGACGCTGGCAAAAAGGCTTTTTGAGTGCCTGATTTTAATTACTTTTCTGCGTAAGTAAAATTAAGATGGGCAAGAGATAAATAATTCACCAATGAAATCAAAAGATGCGTTTTTTTTGCCAGTTTGGGCGAATTCTGTAGTGTAGTTATCGATTTTGAAAATGTAAATGCTGCTAATGGAATGCCAGGAATGTGAACCAATAGGGTCCATGTTGAAGGAAATTCTTGGCGTTACCTAGTATTTTTATCTACCGTGGCCCGAGTATGAAGCTCGGCACTGAGGCGCTGACTAGATGCTCGACCGTGCCGCAGACTGACATACAGCCGGTCGGCGCAGAGATTCCTATACGTGCCTCCAGGTGCCAAAACGTGCTCAGTAGTCACCTGATTATAGTGCAGTGGTTAACACAACCTCCGCCGAGATAACGTTCACGAACACATCACTCGTCACAGACATTGCACATTGTCACAGTGAATAAATAACCCGGGCGGACTAGGCTACAGATCCTGCACAGATGGCAGACTAGAGTGACGCGAGCTCCGGCGGAGACAGTCGAGTTAGGGGTATCACAGCAGCGGGGCAGGTCCGGCGGCCGCCCCCGGGACTGGAGGGCAGGGTCGGCGCCGGCGCCCGCTTCATCCTGATGAGATCATTGTGCAGCTGCCGCGGCCAGATCACACTCGCCTGAGAACGGGGGAGGCAGGGCCGTTAGTGAGAAAGATCTAGACGTGCTGGAAGTGAGGTCTCGTGCAGTGAAATATGGCGCCCCGGTCGGTCTGGGCTGGGCTGGATCGATAAGAAACAGCGCCATAACAGCCTAGTCATATCCCTGGATAATGAATGGGTCCACGTCACACAAATACAGCCGGCACTGTCGATGATTTGGTAACTGAACATCGAACGTCAGACTCAGAATATGATTAAATTAAAAACTGGTTCATATTTACTCCTAAACACGTCAGACATCGTACCAGCTGCCCGCAGCCCCGCGCTCACTCACTGTTTGACCACTTTGGGCGCGCTGACTGCGGCGCTCCTGGCCCTGGCGTGTCTGTGTTTGGCCGACTTGGGTCGTACCGAGACACCGGGGCCGTCTGATGCGTACGTCAGGTACACGTGCGACAGGTCCACCGCCGGCTGCAGAGGACAAACAGAACAGGTCAGGTCACGTCCAGGCGGGCATGCTAAGGGGCATGAAGGGAAGGTGGGTATTTAAACAGAACGGCGTGCTACACCTTTAACTTAGGAGCTGTAACAAGTAACAACTACATAACATTTTAAGTTGAAGTTGTGGTAAGGGCATAAAACTATTGGGAGGGGGGGGGGGGCGAGTATTCAATTCTTTCCCAGAAACTATAAATGACCTGCGATATGACAGTAACGACGTGGCCGACGACAGCTCATTTCCCCACCCTCCTGACGGTGGATTGACGACAGTTCCTACTCCTTGTTCGGACCCCGCTGACAGTAACAGTGCGCGTGGCTGACACTTCCCCGTCAGCTGGCTCAGTTCAGTGCCAGCGCGCGTTCTAGCGAGCCCCACCTGCGCGGGCCGGTCCTGGTCTCCGGTGTCACTGCTGCGACGCATGTTGTTGCCCGTGTAGGCCACACAGCGCAGCTGCCACTCGCCGATCTCATCGTTCCACGTGGCGTACTGCTCCACCATGGCCTGGTACTCGGCGGGTATCACCTGTGCACGGGGTACAGGGTACAATGCCAGCAGTCAGCTGTACTGCTCAGTGATGGCCTGGTACTCGGCGTGCATCACCTACGGTACAAAATGTGCAATGTATGTGTAAGTACTGCTCCTCGCATCGCCTCGTGCCTAAGTTGACCTCTTTGACCACGCCCAGCGATCATCACAGCGGACCAAGTTAAAACTAGTAACTACCATATCCATCCATGTCCTAGCCTGTCCGCCCGCATGTCCTGACCTACTAACGACCTGTCCCATGTACTAGCCAGTCCCCTCCTCCGTCCCCCACCCTTTGCCCATTCAAGCTGCCACTGTGTCCTGACCCGGTAGAGACCTGTCGCGCACACTAACCAGTGACTTCTGTCCTCCCTCCGCTGTCCACTGTTGCCCCCTATTATGTCCTGACCTGGTCGATGAGCAGCTGCTGCAGCCGCAGGTCCGACGTCAACTGCCGCACGTTCTCCAGCAGGCCCTCCTTCTCCCGCTGCTGCTCGGCCCGCAGGTCATCGAGCTCGCAGCGCGCCTCCAGCAGCATCTGCCACACCTTGCGCAGCTTCTTGGTCTTACCGACGGCCTCCTCCTGCAGGCTGCTGTAGCGCTCCTCGATGTCCAGACGCTCCGCCTGAGACGGACGGACGCGGAGGGAGGAACGGAGGGAACGGCGTCATTGCAACATCACACTAAGACAGACAGGAGCTAAATACACTGAATATAACACTCACAACCCCCTTACTCAGTACAGAACCGCAAGAGCGATACGAGTCCTTGTCGAATCCCTTGTTGATGCCCTCTCTCGCCCGGCCTGTGTACGACGAACTTACCTTACACCACCACCCTCCCCTTCCGGTGGCGAGCCACCCACCTCCTTCATCTGCAGGGCCTGCTGGAGCTGCTGCTCCTTCTGCTGGCGCCGCTCCAGCTCGCGGGCCGACTCCTCCAGGAGTCGCTGCTGCTCCTCCGAGCGCTCCAGCAGGTTCACGCCGCCCACGATAATCTTCTTCTCTAACAGCGCCAGCTTCTCGGCCAGCTGGTCGTGTGCCCGCCTGAGGTCGAGGGAGGATCGCAGGGTTAGACTAAGATGAAGAACAGCTGTAATACGCGGGATTCGCCCGCCTGAGGTGGAGAAGGAGAATTACAGTGTTACGGTGTCGTGAAGAACAGTTCTAATACAGCCTACCGTGGTCTGATATAGGCTGCAGACTAGCAACACGGCATACTCGTATAACAATATTCAATTTATGTAGCGCACCTCCTGTCACAAATGCAATCTCCTGGATTACCCCACATCGGGACAGTAGACATTTGTAGCTCATTCGACTTCCCAGAGGCAGCCGAAATGAAAACAGACGTAGGTCGCTCTCCCGCTTCCTCTCTCCGCTCTTATTCCATCCCACTCCCTTCCGCCACTCCTGCTCCCCTCCCTTCTCCCCGGCCGGCCATCATTGTGCCTAATCGTCCACTCACTGCGCCTGCGCCAGCTCCTTCTCATGCTGTTCCACCTGCTGCTGGAGTCGGGTGCGCTCCGCCTCTGCCATGCCCTTCTCCTGCTGGAGCCGTCGCCGGTCGGCGTCCAGCTGGGCCTGCACCTCGGCCATCTGCTCCTCGGTGAGACGGCGGGGCCGGCCGGCGCCGCGCCGCCGTCCTCCCGGCGAGCCGCCGCCCTCCTCGGCGCCGACCTCGCCGCCCGACTCCTCGCCCGAGCCGCTGCCCGACTCGCCCGGGCCGTCGCCTGGGCGGGCAGAGGGGTAGGGTCAGAGGTCAGACGGTAGAGATCAGATCAGTCGAGGGAGAGGAAAACGCAGCTACCTGGGCACACACCAATGGCTACTTAGAGAACTAGCCAGTACGTGCAGAAACATCCTAGCACATCAATAGAGCTAAATTAAATAGTAACGTGGAAGCATTAACTGTCACGCTTAGCCTTCACTTTGGTGAAACTGAAAGTCTAAGTTCCCATTCTTCACTGAGAAAGCCACAGCTCATACGACACCAAATAGCAACAGGCTTCATCTCAGACCCGTGAATAAAAGTAAACACATTTCTCCCACTCTTCTCGCGATCCAGAAAAGTCCAACGGACGCTCTCGTTTAGCGCACCTTCCTCCTCCAGCCGTCTGCGCAGCTCCTCGATTTCCTTCTGGAACTGGCGCAGCAGGGCGTCCTTCGGGTCCTCGTTGATCTTGGCGCTGTTCTGAATGCTCTTGGCTCGGTTGGCGTACCGTAGAGTACTCAGAGTCTCGTCGTAGTTGTAGTCGGCGGGGCCGGCGTTGGCCACCTGATCATCAGTGAGAGAGTGATATCAGCAGCCGTGACGTCACGACCCATGAACGTACCGCGATCCAAGACTTGACAGTAAGACGAAGTGTAAACAGCACTCAATGAAGCACATGTTTCACCAAGCCTTTTAGTAAATGGAGATTTCGTCAGCATATATCGTCAATTGTTGGACCTCAAGCGTCGGACCTATCGACACCGTTTCCGACAGGAAGATCCTACATTGGTCCGATATCTGATCCTGTTATTTCTTAATAACAAACTACCGCGGTCAAACCAACCACCCTCCACCGTCCGCGTCACTCACCATCACGGTCTTGCTGTTGCCGCCGAGCGAGTCCTGCAGCAGCCGCGTCAGCTTGGAGTTGCGGTACGGCACGTGGGTGCTCTTGCCGTCGATCAGGGCCGAGATGACGTTACCCAGGGTGGAGAGCGACAGGTTGATTTTGGTGGCCTCCTTCAGTCGCTGGCCCGTGGCGCCCGTCTTGGTCTGTCGCTCAGAACCCTGCAGGGGAGCAGAGGAGACCGGGGAGGGTCAGAGGTGTCAGAGGAACGGGATGTGAGGCGGCCAATCAGCTGTCCTACATACCAATAAAAAGAAGCGAAAATTCACAAAAGACATTTGTATATGTATGATATCGGATAAATACATGTAATACATGCCTGAAGCGTCGAATGTGTGTAACGTTGGTTTTAAGGAATTAAGATTACAACTGTAACGTTTAAAAACCAAACATACAAGAGCTGGGAGAGAAGAGCGAGACAGACTGAGAGAAGAGAGAGAGAGAGAGAGAGAGAGAGAGAGAGAGAGAGAGAAAAGAGAGGGAGAGAGAGAGAGAGAGAGAGAGAGAGAGAGAGAGAGAGAGAGAGAGAGAGAGAGAGAGAGAGAGAGAGAGGAGCTGCCACCCACTGCCAGGTCGACCAGGTGCAGTTTGCCGACGCGCACGTGATTCTGACCGTCCAGGCCGCGCTCGCTGCGCTCAATGGTAGTGGTGAAAATGGCGTGCGAGCGCGAGCTGTGCTCGTTCATATTGGTGGCGCCCACCGATCCTGGGGGAAGGGATGAACAGATGTCACTGGGGGTGACGAGGTCAGTCGAGGTCAGTCGAGGTCCGTCGGATTCACAGGGTCAGTTGAATTCACAGGGCAAGCCATGTCAGTTAGGGTTTCAGTTCATGTCATTAATACCTGTTGATTGCACACAAATCACAATTAAAAAGAACTGTAAATAAGCGTATGTAAACCAGTGATTCAAATGGAGGAATAGTGCAGTAAGACGACAGCAAATGATCTCGCATTGGCTATACCTTGCATTCGGTCCGTCAACTCAGCATACAAGTGCGGACTACAACACTGTGCCGTTTTCCAGACCCTGTACCGCTTCCGCGAAGTAAGTACGTACTGTTTTTGTTTCCGAGCGTCATGATCTTGTCCATGTCGTCGGCGTTGTTGACCACGAAGGCGGAGAGGTCCTTGACGTAGACGCCGATGTCTGGCCGCTCCTTGACCTCGAGTCGCTGCGACTGCGACTTTCCCAGCAGGTCTCGGACCTCCTCGTTGTAAATCTCCAGGTAGGAGACGCGCACCAGGAATCTGGAATCAGGAGAGACCCGTGTCAGCGGCTGTTCAGGGTTCGACGTTACTTGGCAAATGTGTACCGCTGAATGTGTACTGATCATTGAGCATTCCAGCCCTCGGTGAAAACGACACTAGTTATTACGGTCGAAATCTCCCGACCTCCCCCCTAGTTCCCACACTCAAACTCACTTTGAGTCCCCGGCCGACTTGGCGATGTGGCCGAAAATGTGCGCGAACGAGTTGGGTATGATGCCCTTTTTCTCGGCCACAGTCCTGACGCCCTCCATGGTGAAGGTTTTGCCGGTACCCGTCTGGCCGTAGGCGAAGATGGTGCCGTTGTAGCCCTCCAGGACGTTCTCGACAATCGGCCGCGCCACCTGGTTGTAGATGTCAAACTGCCGGCGGAAACCATCCGTAGATTAGTTAGGCGGGGCGCTGGGATAGAGGGTTTAGATGACAAAAGTAAACCTCGTTCCTGCGCCAAGGTCATACCATTACTCGCCTACAACAAAAAGAGAGCCAGTTAACTAGCCTGTTAGGGTTTATCTCACCTGTTTGGAGTCGGGTCCAAAGGCCAGGTCGAAGGTGAACGTTTTGGGCGGCTCGGTGGCGGCGGCGCTGGGGCTGCGCAGCGACACGGAGCCAGCCAGAGAGTTCACCTCCACGGCGCTGCGGTGGCCGGCCGCCAGCTCGGCGTCGTTCAGCGGCCGCACGCGCACCACCACGCGCACGTTATCCTTGTCGGCCGGGTTGGCCATGGCTGGCGGCTCCGGTCCGGACCGCGCGGGGCCCGTGCTCGGGGCAGCGGGGCCGGTGGTGGAGAGGTGAGCTGATTATCACAGTGCGCGGGACCAGAAATGTGCAGCTCTTTTGCCCTGTAAATACAAACCAAGTATAAAATGTCTGGCAACAGCCCCAGCATGCCAGCCTGGTGAATGGTCATCAAGTTTTCACTCTTGTTATAACTGCTATAAGTTTTTTTTTCAAAATTGTGATCGTAAAGGCCTGGCTACACTGCGTTTTTTGCGTGCGTTTTTTGTGTGTTTGCGGGTTTTGCGTACCTAATATTGTTCCAGAAAAAAGGTTATTTTATTATTAATTAAACTTCTTTAATATTTATATAAAAGTTAATACAACGTTTATGTTACCACTCAGTGTGGTTAAAATCATTTTACGTTAGGGGGAGGATGTGGAAAAAAGACCGGAAAGGATGTCATTATTTACATAAAACTTGACTTTGACCATTTTTAAGCACTGTTTTTATATGTGTCGCTAGACAAAAATGTAGAAATATTAAATACTGATAAAACTTTGAAGGTATTCTGATATTCAGGATGTTAAATGAAGTTTTAAAGTAGGGTCATATATTTGAACATTTTGGTTATTTGAATGGTTGTCTTGGCGTGTTGTGAGAGTTTGCGAGCTTTGTGTTTCTATTGCTCCTAGACGTTTGGGTTCCAGATTATTATTATGAGTCGTGGTGACTGCCGTATGGATGTTTTTATTTACATTTTTAGGATGTCAATATACTTTTCGCTATGGGTGGATTTCCCCGCAACATTACATTCTTGGACACATTGTTTACGGTAATTAAAAGTTTATTTGAAAAACATAGGCATAACAAAAACGTAATGTCGTTTCATTCTAGAACGATATTCTGCAAATCACGCAAACTCGCAAAAAACGCACGCAGAAAACGCATAGTGTTGAATCAAGAACTTCTGACATTCAATATATCATTGAAGGAGAACAGATAAATTGGGCAGCATTAATGCACGAGCAGTGCTTCCTGTACCCTAGACTAACGACATTACACGCATCACAACCGCCGTATACCGATACACACCAAATTCCCCCTCACCCTCCTACAGTACCACGGTGCACAAGGCCACGGTGTGTATAGAGAACACTCCTCCAAAGTCCAAACACTTGCTCCAAACAAAACCACACAATCCAATGAACAAATTTATGGGAGAGTTTCTTACAACAGCATTTGTGAACTTACTACGTCACAGCTTTGAGCCAATTAAAACGCTGCTAGAGAATGGCTGGGATGTATTTTTCACTTAAATCATTGTTAACGAGATTACTGTTCATGTAAAATATCTAGTAAAGAAATAAATAAGATGAGTTTTATTGAAAATAAGAAGTAAAAAGGGTGCAATATGGAATATGAAGTGTTTCGGTTTAACGTCATAGAACAAATACTGAGATTGTACAACACAAAATAAACTGTAGGCGGATAGCGGCGCAATTGTTTCATAAATGGCGCAATTATTGTGGAATTGCTTGTATATTTACCTTGGACTTGTTATATTTTAATTGTATATTTACCTTGGATGCCTGGATCGGAAGGCTACGCAACTTATTCCAACAACAACAACAATTATACATTGTCGGACCCAGCTCCGAGTTTTGGGAGGGGCAAGCCACAGGTAACAATTTAGTGGTTCAGTGGTTCTTTACATGTACCGTGCATAGGCGTAATGTTAAAATTATGCCGTTTGGGAGGAGCAATTGCTTGGGCAATTGCCCGATTTGCCCTCCCGGATCCGCCACTGCAATTATATATTTTTACCGCGTCTCCTGCTAGTGTTCGATGTGTTCGATGACTGGGTCTAAAAGAAAAAGCACTCAGTTATAAGCGTTCTTTCATTCGTTCGAGAATCAGTCATTTGTTCATTCATTCATTCATTGATTCATTCATTAATCAGTATCGATGTTGTTCAAGCCAGGGCACTAAAGAGTCTTCAAGCATTCATGATTCAGTTGCTCAGATATCGTAGCATCTCATCCTCATGACGTCGGTCAAGAGGACAACACTATTCGACCGCCACCCTTGCAGCCATTCTATAACTCAGGAACTACTGGACCGATCGGAACGAACGAAACACCATTCAGGGGGTACGATTTTATCAGCCGTTTCGAAGATCGTGACCCCAGGTGACCTCGGTGACCTCAAAAGGTCAACTTGGCATTTACGCCTATTGCAGCCATTCTATAACTCAGGAACTACTGGGCCGATCGCAAAGAAAACACCACCAGTCGAATCAGCGTATGCGATTTCCCTTTATGTTTCGAATATGGTGACCTCAGGCGACCTCGGTGATCTCAAAAGGCCAACTTAACGTTTTCGCCTATTGCAGCCATTCTATAATTAATAAAGGGACCCTCCCACCTTCAAAAAAGTTTATGAATTGGCATGAAAGTGATGTCGCTCGGTTCAGAAAGAGCGAAAACGAGTATCTACCAAATTTCACCGAAAAATATTCACCGGTTTTCAAGATATTATACTTTTACTTTTGTTTACTTTTTTGGGGTCTCCGCTGTTTCTAGCTTTTTTTTTTTAGTGGCCCTAACTTACGTTACCGGCCTCGCGAGGAGGGCGGCGACCTAACTACGCCGCGCAAAACAAACCGGCCGTCCTAACTAAGACCGGTGGCCACTTTTACAGCAAGACAACATGGGAAAACCCATATCCATGTACTATGCCATGAATATGGGGAAAAACCCATGAATTTACGTTAAGACGCATAAATGACAGTGAAACTTACCGGTAAATTGATGTTTGTGAAAGGAGGGAAGGAGGAAGTTTGTGAATGGTAAGGTTACGACGAGAGTTGGATGACAGGAATGGTTTGAAGAGTGGGGGATAGGTCGCTGGGAGGGATGGGGTTTGTGAATGTTTAAGCGTCACGATGAAAGGAATGGTTTGGAGGATAGGGAATTTGTCGCTGCTGCAGTTGGCGGCCGACGGTTGTCTGTGGTCGTTCAACCCGGCCGCCGCCGCTGTTCAGCGGCCGGGGTCCGCTGGTGTAGCTCCATGGATGAAGTATTCCTGGATAGGACACTCCCTATTCCCCAACACTAGCGCCGGCGACCAAGCGGCCGCCCTGGTGGCGGAGCTCCGAAACATCGGCGGCGAGTGCGCCGGCGGCCGCCGCACCGGCTTGCCTGCTAAAAACGCGGTAATGGAGGGCGAAATTAGCGAACTTTAGCTCATAAGACACAATTTCAGACACTTTAAACATAATTTCTAGTCCTTTCTTATCATTATTATGGCTCCATTTAGTCACTATCACATACGGAATCATTACCTGATGCCCATAAACTGAGCCGGTATTCTTGACTTGCCGATGCAATTTATCATCAAATATCATCGTTCCTCGGCAGTCGAACAAGTCCCTATTGATGATTTAATACAAATGTTAACTTACTTTCATGTTATCGCATTAAACTTAACTTTATTCCAACATTGGCTCTTCGGCTGTAATCACGAACCCTCACTTGTCAGCAGAATTTAAGCAATTTCTTAAATCAAAACTGGGAAAAGAATATTTCCATGACATTCCTCAATTCCTGTTCTACCTGGTTCACAAAAATTTTCATCAAAATCGGTTATAGGTAAGTTATAAACGACAAAAGTATACAAAAAGACACGCTCCGCCCATAGCCCGCAATGCTAAAATAACGCCAGCGCCCTCGCCGTCGGGAAATCCGCCGCCGCCGCCGGGTGGTCGGAAAATCGGCGGAGTGTCCGATCCAGGAATACCTAATCCATGGTAGCTCGCTGGGCCGCTGAGCCTCTAAGCGTGCTCCCGCGGCTGGAGAAAACCCGTCTGCCATCGAAGCTCTGTGTTTCGGTACCAGCGAAAAAACTCGACCCATCGGCCATCCCGTATCACAAGTCAGCCTGGTGGTAGCGAGACGGGTGCCTGCTAACTCAAAGTCAAGGCCGTTAAAGTAGCTCTGAGTAGGGTGATGTTAGGACGAAATCAAGTACCAGGTTTGTCAATGTTGTGTCGTCTCCGAGAAGGGTCGGGAGGTCGTTTTTAAGGTGTTGTACCGCAAGATAGTTAGTGATGTGTCTTCGTTCGTGATGCAATGCCGTGCATGCGATCAAAATGTGCTCTACGGAGATGCGTGTGTCACAGGTGTGGCAAATCGGAGGGTCCGTCCTATCAAAAAGGTGGCCATGTGTGAGGCGGGTATGACCACACCTCAATCTGGCCAGGGTCACCTCGCGTATCCTGTCTGGTTGGTTACATGTGACCCATGTTCTAAGTTCTCGTTTGATCGCATACATATGTGCAGCATGATGTTGGTCCCATTTGCGTTGAAGGTACTCGGCGAATTTGATTTTTATCATATGGATAGCGTCCCCTTGGGCCATAGGTTCCACAACTGGATCAGGTCGCATTGCAGCCTCCTTTGCGAGGACATCCGCACGTTCATTTCCTGCAATACCGTAATGACCTGGAACCCAGAGAAGGGTCACATGCTGGCCCTCATTGAGATCTGATGTGATTCTGAGAATATTGTAGATACCGTGGTGCGTAACATTATCAGTCCTTTCCAGTGCTTGAAGAGCGGATTTCGAATCAGTACAGATGGTTGCCCGATCAATCTTTTTTGCCCTGATGTGCTCCATAACTTTTTCGATTGCGTGAACTTCGGCACTGAAGACTGTCGTAAATTCTTGAAGCCGGGTCCCAAACCTAAGCCCAGGGCCGACGGCTGCTGAACCTATCTTATTTTCGTGACATGAGCCATCTGTAAAGAAAAAAGCAGAGTCGCAGTTGAGCTCTACATACTCCTGGAAGAGCATTTGAGCTTCCACCGGAGGTATACTGGTCTTCTTATAATCGAAAAGAAATTCGATGGATAGGTCTTTGAGGAACCAAAATGGAATCATAGGAGGATTTAGAGTAACTTCAGTGTACCTAATGTTTAGCAATTTATGAGCTTGCTCAAGGCACCCAGGGAGAAAGCACGATCTACGCAGTGGGCGTCGGGTTCTTGGTTTCCTCACCTCCATCGCTGGTATAGCAATGTGATTCCGAACACTTTTTGCTCTGTAGTAATAGCGGAGGAAAAGAAAGACGCGTCGGTCATCAAGTGCTGGAATGCCGGTATCTGCACGAAGAGCAAGAACTGGCGATGTGCGAAAGGCCCCAGTTAGAAGTCTCAAGCACGTTGATTGGACGGCTTCTAGATGTTTGCATAAACTGGGCGACAGTGTGCTAAACAGAAAACAATTGTACTCAATCGTAGATCTGATTAGCCCAATATACAACATTTGCAACGTTTTTCGGTCCGCACCCCAGGAAAACCCACATATGCATCTTAGGACATTAATTCGTTTAATACAACGTGACCTTAGGTGCTCAACGTGTTGACGGAAGGTTAGATTAGTATCCAAAATGATCCCTAGAAATTTGTGTGACGTGGAAAAAGGAATTTTAATCCCATCGATGTGTGGGGATCTTTCAAGCGATGGACGGGGTCCACGTTTGAAGACCATCATGACTGATTTGGGCGCTGACAAAAAGAATCCCCATTTAGTGCACCATTTAACGCAGTGATCAACCACTGTTTGCAATATAGAATAAGCCTGTTTGTAGTTTTTGTGGGATACCCATATTGCTATATCATCAGCAAAAAGCGAATAGCGGACAGAAAATGTTAGCACACGTGGCAGGTGTAGGAGCATATCGTTCAGGGCAATCAAGAACAGCGTAGGTGACAGCACGCTGCCTTGAGGGACGCCATGTTCCATTACAAAGTCGTCAGAAAGTGTCGCTTGGCAACGAACTTTGAAAGTTCGGGGTTTTAGGAAATTTCGAAGAAACGCAGCCAAATGGCCTCTGATTCCGATTGAGTGCAGCTTATAAATTATCGTCGAACTGTGTACCTTGTTGAAGGCTGACATTAGGTCTAGAAAAATAGCGACAGTCGGTCGCCTATGTTCCCAGTTTACCTGGATGTCCGAGATAAGGCGAATGATATTGTCTGCCGTACTACGATTTTTCTGAAAACCGCTTTGACATATATCAATGCAATGGCAGTGGCGGCGCCACCATAGGGGCAGGGGTGGCAGCCTGCCACCCCTGCCGCGAGGTAGGGGTGGCATTGCCACCCCTGAAATATGGGACAAATT